TTTATTTACCCAGGACAAATCCTTTCACCTTTAGGATTGGTAAGCAGCCATGTTTAATTAAGGAATTTTTTATTCATCTCAATCTGTTATTTGAAATGTGACCATTCTTGTCTGTACATTGCCATACCATAATATTTCATTCGTTTTGGAAGATTGTGTATAGTGCTGTTGTCAGCCAGACAACTGAATTTCTTTTAGGAAGAATATGCATGCAATTTTTTGACACATATCTGTAGATAGAATCAGATTTATATCTTGTCCTGTTCTTATGGATAGTTTTCAAACTGTTCAGTCTTATGTGATGGAACTTTGCTGTTCATGACTTATAAAAGCAGCTGGGAATGGAGGTTCTACCTGAGCTAGTAAGGGCACTGGCGAATGCTTTTTCATGGCAAGGTGTGATTCCATCATTGCTAAAGTAAGTGGTGGTAAGACTTTGGTGAGAAGAGCAGAGCCTCTTGGAACTTCTCTCTGTTGGATAATTTCTGTCCAGTCCCCAATATTCCATTCTTGAACAAGGTGCTAGAGTGTAAGTGAGTATATATCCAGTAGGAATGTCAGAATGAGATGGCTTATGTAGATCCATTGCAATCTAGCTTAGGCCTGGTTGTAGAACAGAAATTGTTTGGTCCTGGAATTGGAAGGTGGAATGTTTTCCTATTACTTCTGCTGGAGCTTTAAGTGGCATTTTAAATTATTAACCATGGTTTTCTTCTTTGGCATTGTGTAATGTGGGTTTAGGAGTTACTATTATATGATAGCTCTGGTCCTTATTAGAGGGGCAGTTTCAGAGGATAGTGCTGGGGGATTCCTGTTTGAATCATACAAATATAGAAGTATTGAACAGAGCCAAGAAGGCCATCAGGTTCAGCTCCTGCACAGTGCCTTTGGCATCCCTCAGGGACACAGAACCCTCTCAGGGTTCCTTCTTGCCCCCATACTCTTTAACACAGGCCCTGTCATGCCTTGTTGACTGTCTGACCCATTTTCTGTTCCTGACTTCTCCTTACTAGATCTTGTCAAGGTCGACATCCACCACCATCATCCCTGATCTTGGAGTATCAAGACATAGATACCTGCCATTTATATCCCAGAGCTGATACCTACGCCACTAATTAGTCACCCCTGCTCTTGGGCATCAATACATTTTTTGATTCAAAATGAAAATGTTTCTATGAACATGGTACTATGCAAATTAGGCTAATTTACATTGGATTTTTTCTTAAAATTCACATCAGTGGCTGCACTTTCCTTTGCTTCAGGCTGCAAAAAGTCTTGGATGAGCCCTTCCTACTTGAAATAAAAGTAGGCTTAGATACCATATGAATTACCATTTTCTTACTGTACATTTTATGTAAGAAGGCATGTGTAAGGCAATAACACTTCTCTTTTAAAACCTAGTTGGGGTTGTTTATTATTTTATATCTGCCACAGTTTTCCTTATCTAAGATTCAATAAAAATCATAGCATAGAATAAAAAATAATACAAATGTACTCAAAGAGTGATCATCAAGGGTACCTTCTCAAACTGGTAAGAGGTAACCAGTGGAGTAGTTCAGGGAACGTTTATCAGATTTCGAGATGACACAGAACTATGTGAGATAGCTAATACCCTGGAAGACAGAAACATGATTTCAGGTGATCTTGATAGGTTGGAGTACTGGGCTGAAAACAACAGAATGAATAGGAGCAAATGCCAAGTTCTGCACCTAGGAAAAAGAAACCAAATGCATCATTACAAAGTGGGGAATGCTTGGCTCAACAACTGTATGAGTGAGAAGAATCTTGGAAATGTTTATAGATCACAAGATGAATATGAGTCAACAATGTGATATGGCTGCAAAAATGGCAGATGCTATTTTAGGCTGCATTAATAGAAGTGTCACTTCCAAATCATATGATGTTCTAGCTCCCCTCTACTCAGCACTGATTAGGCAGGCCTCATCTGGAGTACTGCATACACTTCTGGGCACCACAGTTTAAGAAAGATGCAGACAAGTTGGAAAGGGTTTAGAGGAGGGTAAGAGAGATGTACTGGTGTACTGGAAACAAAGCCCTATGAGGAGAGATTGAAAGAACTGGGCATGTTTAGCCTTGAGAAGACCGAGGGGAGATATGATAGCATTCTTCAAGTACTTGAAAAGCCATTACAAAGAGGAAGACCAGGATCTCTTCTTGATCATCCCAGAGTGCAGGACATGGTATAATGGGCACAAGTTACCGGAAGCCAGGTCCTAGTTGAACAGCAGGAAAAACCTCCTGACCGTTACAGCAGCAGGACAATGGAACCAATTTCCTAGGGAGGTTGTACTGCACAGTACTGCAGGCATTCAAGAGGCAGCTGGACAACCATCTACTGGGGATGGCTTAACTTGGAGTCCTGCACTGAGCAGGGGGTTGGCCCCTGTGGCCCCTTCCAACTTTACTATTTTATGATTCTATGGCTCTACTACACTCTGTTTTATATTTCTAAAGCAGCCTCCTGCAACCTGGTGCTCTCCAAATGTTTTAGACTACAGTCTCCAGCATTCTTGACCATTGGCTATACCACCTGATTTTGATGACAGGTCAAGTCCAAAATAATTGGAGAGCACCCCATTGGAAAGAGATATTAGAAAATAACAAAGTGATTTCAGATGCTTAGTGATTTTTCAGTTTTCCTCATATTCATGTTTTTCTCTTTTTTATGACTTCAGTGTTCTGAAAATCATATACCTCTATCCTTGGCTCTAACAACTGCACTTAGTCAGCATTCAGGAGCAGGCTGGCTCTAAGCACATACTTCCACAGTACATTCAGTGTAATGGCTATGCTCAAATTCCTTGCCCCAACCACAAATGCCCCCTTCTGATTTCCTTTCCTGAATTTATATATTTATGCCAATTCCCATAATAAGGGCTTCTTTTAAAATAATGATTTGCCGGCACAATGAAAAAAGGCACTGTTTTTAAAAATGTTTCATCCTCATGTTTTAGCAGTAATTTAAGGATCAGAGTAGGAAGTTGGAGATAATACTTCTTTTATCCATACTTACTGTCCCTTCCTTTTCAAACTTACATTGTAGCTCTGGCAGACACAATGTGAGGTACCCAGTACTAAAAGCATTAATTTACATTTATATCGCACTCCAGGAATATAGATCAGAGTTAACCATAGAATACAGTGGAGTTTCCCCTCTTGAGTGCAGAAACACAGCTCTGACCTCTGGAGGAAAAATCCAAGTGGTGATATACCTCACCTTGTCCTGGATCAGGAGGTGTGAGAAAAAGGGTGGCTTCAGTGGGCAAGTATTGGGATTGTCCTAAGCTGTGCTGTGGATCAAATAGTTTAGAATCAATATCTATTTAAGTAGATCAGGATGGTTTTGCTCAGCCTCATTTCTCCTCTAATGGAATATCAGTTGGGGAAGTGCTGGTTTGGGTCTGCTCAGGGTGATGAATGTCAGAATGGTGAAAGTAACGGGTTAGGGTTGGGGTTAGGTGGTTGGTTCCATGGCGCAAGGAATGTGCCCTCCCCTTGGTCTGGTTGGCCAGATGATGGAGACAGTCAGCAAGCCCTCTGGTTCCAGTCAGCAGGCAGGGACCTGGAACAATCATGCAGTCATTGATCTGAGGTGCAGGACAGTGATGGCGAGTAGATCTCAGCCCTGTGTGAGGGTTCACCAGTGGCCACATGTGGTGAAGGCAACAGCATCCTTTTGCACTAAGATGGGAACAGTGCCTGAGCTTGGAGAAGTCTTAGAGGTTTGGCAGGTCAGCGTGTGTGGTGAAGAGTCTTGAATCTTGCCCTCCAGTATCAATATTGCTTACATGGATTCCATGGTCGGGCCAGAGTTGGCTGCTGTGCTGGTACAGGCGCTCTTGATACTCATGGAGAAGGGTGTCTAGGCTATTTCCCCAAGTCCGCCTTATTTTTGGCTGTCATTGCCAGCTTTCACATCTTGTCCAAGTGCCTGGGAGTAGATGAGATGGGTGGTGTGACTGAAGGAGACCCCACAGCTGCGGATGACACGTATGGTGCAGGCATAGCTTGGGAAGTAGATGGGCAGTCCATCAGTGTAGTTGAAGCCAGACTGGTGATCTGAAGAGCACTGCTCAAAAGTTCATTCCTTAGCTGCCCTTTCAAGCCTGTTTAGTGAAGGCCTTTCTGTATGTACTGACCTCCATGAGATGCTGCTCTTTAAGTTTTAGAATCACATGAGGCACTGGTACCTATATGAGCTAGGTGAGCTCCATCTTCAGTGTTATGTTGAGTTCTGGGCATCAGAAATCTTCCTGCTTGAGCATCATGGCAGTGGATCTAATTATTTATGGAGGTTGTGGGTTCCTCAAGAAAGCTGCAGAAAAACTGGAGAGAGTTCAGAGGGGGAATGGAAACAAAGCCCTGTGAGGAGAGATTGAATGAACTGAGTGTGTTTAGCCTGGAGAAAAGAAGACTGAGGCTGAATAACACTTTTCAAACACTTGAAAAGCTGTCACACAGCAGAGGGCCAAGAACTCTTCCTGATCATCCCAGAGTTAGAACATGGGATAACAGACTCAAGTTACAGAAAACAAGACTTCATCTGGACATCAGGAATCTTCCTGACTGTTTGAGCATCATGACAATGGATCTAATTACCTATGGAGGTTGTGGGTTCTCTCACACAGGAGGCATTCAAGAGGCATTTGGATAGCCATCTCTTGGGAATTCTTTAGCCTAGAGTCCTGCACTGAGCAGGGGGGTTGGAATTGCTAGCCTTGTTGGCCACTTCCAATTCTATTCTTTATGATTCTGTGATTCTTGAAAGAACTTTCTTGGGATTATGAACATACTGTTGTGGGACTAAAGATATGAAACAGAACTTTTTAATGTGTCTGGCTGTCTTCTCTTTTTATATAACCATAATAAAACCCACTGAACTGTTCTACCTTAAGAAAAAGTTTTGGTATGGAAGGGAAGCTGTATGTAGTTGATCTCTGCTGAACTGATATACATTTGTTGTTTTGGTTCTCCTGCAGATGGAGGAAGCGAGGAACCACCAGACCGAAGACAGGCGAGCATAGATTACTGTCAGAGCCATTCTGGTCAGGGTAAGCAAACAAAGATTATGTATTCTTTGTTGAAGTTTATTTATGATTTTGTATTTTAGTGTACAATGTTTCAGAAGCTTTTTAGAATCTTCTGTTAGCCAAAGAAGTATATTAACTCTTGTAAATATTACTGTAAGATCCCACCTGAGTGTCCTCAAACTCTATGCCTTTGAATTATTTGTGAGACAGTTTGGCATAGTGGTGTTGGTCTGTGACTGGTTCTGATTCCCACTCAGCCTTGAAGCTCTCTGGGTGATTTTTGGCCTGGGGCTGACTCTCAGTCTGCCTCACAGGGTTGTCCTGAGGATAACATGGAAAAGAGCAGGAGGATTATGTAATCTTCCTTGGGTTCCTTGCAGAAAAAGGTAGGATATCATAAATAACATAAAATATCATAAATAACATAACTTTGTTTCTTTGAACATGTAATAACCACATAGCTTCTTATAGTGGGCATTAGATGGGAATATCTCAGGGACAGCAGCAACACATATACTAGGATGCACAAAAATGGAATTTCATAATTTGTAGCAGCTTTCCTCTGAAGAAATGTCTAAAATTCAGCTCAAGTTGGCTATTTTAAGAAAGCAGTTCTGAGAAAGGAATATTCCTTTTCTACATTAAATCAGCTTGTGGCACTGTTTTCATGTCTTCTGCTTACCACCTCCTTTTGCTACTGTATTGTGGGTGGCCCAGATTAACTAGCTCCATATTCCTTGCAGCATTCATTGTCTACCTTATCTGTGACAGACAAATGCAAAATCTTCTCTGGGAATGGAAACTGTATCCTACACAACTGGGGGCAGTCAGAAATAATCATTTCTAAAAGATGCTGGAAAGGCTGTTACTGACTTCCGTATTTGGTGGACATGCATCCACATTAGTCTCACACAAAATATCTATTCAAAAGATTTCAGATAGAAACCATAATGAAATTTCCTCTGTGCCAGTTGATTTGCTAAATGGAACCTGTATCTTTTTTATTAAATAGGAATCCAGTTTAAGGCTTACAGTAAATCATCTAATTTTTTTTCTGGTAACATACTAGCTGCACAGATTGTGGGATATCACTGTTAGAATTCAGCTGAATAAATGTGGGTGGCCAAGAGTTTGAAAAAGAAATGCTTCCTTGAAATATTGCTCCCACTTGCCCTCTAGACAGATGCAACCAAATAAAGTTTATTCCAGAATATCACAATTTTGTACACTCACTATTGTAACTTATCCAAAATTGTGGGTAAATGGTGTACTCTATCTACTCTATCGTGATACAGAGGTACCATTTTGGTAATCTGTTTAGAGTTGTAATGGCTTTTGCCTTTGGAATAAGTATTTCTGGCTATCTCTGCAGTTTCAATTTTACAATTTGAATGTTGTTAAGCACAAGTATAAAAAAAGATTGGCAAGGTAGAATAATTAGAAGTTTTACAAGGTTCTAGGTGTGCTTAATAAAGTACTGGCAAATTGTTACAAAAGTTAACAATCATTGAAAAATTCCACAATACATTATATTCATTTAACATCTTTTTTTCAACATTGTTCTTCATGGTCTCTTTGGGCTCTGCACTTGTATGGAGCCCATTGTTAAGGAGTTATCACAGGTGAGAGTTTTGGTGGGAACTCTTGGCACTTGTTATATTATGAGGGGTTCCCACCCATTTCTTCAGTTGCTCTTGCACCATTGTGGTGTCTTGGGAAGCTCTTTTCCTTGTAATTCTTAGTGATAGCACTTTTTGACTTCTTATAGCTGTTTCTTTACAACCTAGTTCTACCACATTATGCTTTATTCCAGTTTATCCTCATCTTCCCTCAGTCTTTCTCCAGCCTTATTAACTTCCTTTTGCCACCATTTTTTCCTACTCATCTGAATTTTTTATTTATTAGATTTTTAGCCTGCCCCATTTAGCACTGCTCCCTGTGTGGGTTACAGAAAAGCATCTACAATCAATAAAGTCTTATAAGATCCATATAAGATATTAAAACACAATAATAAACCCTTACTCATAAAACAATAAAAGCACACCCACATTGTATCTTAACAGAACCTATGATTTATATAAAAGGCATAACACATTCTATATTAAAATGTCACCAATCTAGCAATTAAAATACTGGTGAAATAAAAAAGGTCTTTGCCTGGCACCAAAAGGAATATAAAGAGGGCACCAGACAAACCTCTCAGGGGATCTCATTCCAGAGTTGGGGTTCCACTCCCGAGAAGGCTCTTCTTGTAGCCACCTTCCTTATTTTCTGAGGAGGTTCCTTCAGCAGGACCTCAAACGATGATCTAAGGAACCAGGTAGGTTCATATGGGAAGAGGTGCTCCTTTAGATACCATGGTCATGAACTGTTTAGGGTTTAAACACTGTTACCACCTTGAATTGGGCCTGGACCTCAATTGGTAACCAGTGGAGGTGGTAGTGGATTGGCTTTATATGATAATATCTGCCAGTCCTCAACAGCAGCCTAGCTGCTGTATTCTGGACCAGTTGAAGTTTCCAGACTGTTTTCAAGGGAAGCCCCATGTAAAGCACATTGCAATAATCCAGGTGAGAAATTGCCAAGTTCTGTCTGTCCAGACAGGGCCACAGTTGAGCTATCAGCCTTAGCTGATAGAAGGTGCTGTTGGCCTCCAAATCCACCTGGAATAATTCCAGTGATAATTTAGGGTCCAAGAGCACCCCTAAGCTACAAACCCTATCCTTTAAGGAGAGTGTGACCCTGTTCAGGACAGGCAAGATGTCACGCCTCTGAACAGACAATCTCCGCACCAACAGTATCTTTGCCTTGTCTGGATTAAGTTTCAGTTTATTGGTCCTCATACAATCTATTATTGAGGCAAGACCAAGATTCAGAACTTCTGTTGCCACACCTGCAGCAGATGAAAAAGAACTGAGTGTCATTGGTGTACTGCTGACATCTCAGTCCACACATTCTGATGACCTCTTCCAGCAGTTTCATTAAGATGATGAAGAGCAACGTAGAAAAGATAGAGGCCTGCAGAACCTCATGGCAGAAATACCATGGTGCAGAGAGTTAATCCCCCAGCACCATCTTCTGGACACAGCTGCCTTCACTGCCATGGTGTAGGCTCGATAATGAGCTCTGAGCTGTGTTCAGTTGGATTCATCATGAGCTTTTCTCCATCTGCGCTTTAGCTGTCTTCCCATCTATTTCATCAACCTCAGCTCTGGCATGCCCCATTCCCAGATCATCCTCTCCTTGTCCAGTCAAGAAGATAAGTTCTAGAGTTTGACCTTTTATGGTGTGTTGGGCCCATGACATGTTGAGAGAGCCCTATGGTTGTCATGGAGACCATGAAGTCTTGAGTCAACCTAGATAAAACAGCATTGGTGTGAAAGTTGAGGACCCCCAGAATCAACATTCTGGGGGTCCTCAACATCAGGCTCAAGACCACCTCTGTCAATTCAGGCACAGAGATTGCTGGGCAGCTGGGTGGGTAGTACACCAGCAAAATCCCTAATCTGTTTTGGGAGTCCAGTGCAAGGTATAAACACACAAGACCCACCCTCAAGTGAACAGGGAGCCTTGCGAGAGGGATCAGATTCCTATAGACCAGACACTTACCCTCCCTGGTCCTCCAGGCAATGCTAGTGCTTGACAAGAGTACCCAGGGAGGGCACAACTGTGAGAGAGCTACTCCTCCCTCTTCCCCTACCCAGGTCTCTGTGATGCAAGCCAGGTTGGCCCCTCATTCACTGCCAGATTGTAGATTAGTGAGATCTTAATTTGGACCAACCTGGCATTCAGCAAAAGCATCATCAAACCTTAGGGCAGGATGATAAGGCTGTGTGAGGGCCAGGTGGTGGGCAGCAGCAAGGAAGGGCAGAGCTCCAGGTCCCGGACTCACTAAGGGCCAGAGACTAGGGGCAAGTCAGCCAATCCGGGTCAAAGGCACAGATGAGAGCAGTCAGAGTTTGGCACACACAGAGAGAGGGAGTCAAAGCACAGATCCAAAGTCAGTTTACCAGGGAGACGTTGCCATGAGGGTTGTAGCAGGCCGGAGTGAGGCAGGGTTTACTCAGAGGAAAGAAAGGAAGGGCACAGGCTGGAGCAAGGCAGGAACAATCTTGAACAAGACAGGGACAAACTGGAGCAGGACTTGAACAAGGCAGGAACAAACTAGAACAAGGTATAGCAAAGCAGGGGCCAGACCACAAGGAGTAACCAGGACACTCACATTACTGTGGTAAGGAGCAGCAGTGCAGGGGAGCCTTTTATGCTGGTCTTCAGGGTCTCCAGCTGCACTTCATAATTGCTCCACGGGTGCTCCTTGCAGGTGCCTGCAAAGGCAGTCCTGGTTCTGCAAGCACTTGCAGTCATTCAGGCCCTGATTCTGACAGGCTGCCAGGATTTGGTATGTTTGGAGAGTGACCGGAAGAGGGGATACCCATCAAACATCTAGCCCCTCTTCTCCTTTGCTAGCATGCCACTCTCCCATACTTCCCCCTCTCTATAACTACCTTAATTGGGACACCCTGTTGCTCCCCAGGGTCCTCCAGTAACATTCTTAAAACAGTGTGGTTATGCCAGAGGTTCTGTCAAAGACCAACCATCACCTGATAATCAAAGCCCAACAACAATTCAGCCATATGGGCCCCCACCTGCACCACTTTGGTGATGAATGGACATCAAAAAGGATGGAGTCTTTTGGAAGCCACCCTTTGGTAGCTGCCAGAAGAGTGTTGCTCTTCAAGGGCAAGCCTCTAAGTAGGTCCCAGGATGGTGCTTGGGCCAGACTTCTGGGACTCAAGGCATCCTTCTGAAAGTGCATCCACTGTGGGAGCAAATTCTCACTGCCCAAAAGGTACTCCCAGTGTCTCGTCTGCCTGGAAAAGGGCAACATCATAGATTTCTGGCCTCACTGCCAGACCTTCACCAAACAAGCATGAAAGAACAGTGTAGACTGCCTAAAAGCAGAGCTGTGGAGTAAACTGCATCAGGTAGTGGACTCCCCCAAGTTTGTGGAAAAGGAGGCC